CTGGGGGGGGGAGGGAGTGAGTCAGGGAGTTGGGGTATCAGAAGTGGGGGTGCGGTGCCAGGTGCAGGCCCTCCTCATTCCTCATTTCCTCATCCTCATCCACCACCCTCACCCCTCCCCTGGCCTCCCCGCCTCCGGGCCGCCTTCCTCTTGCTGGTCAGACTCAAGTTACCACGGAGGCCTTTCCAGGTTCGCTTTGAATTAGGACTTTTGAAATATCAGAAGTATTCATTGAAAAGTGAGATGACAACATAGAAGCCCAGGATGACGGATGTTTGGTTTGGGAAGGGTGAGATATAAAGTGAAAAAGAAACTTAGGGGAAGTCACCATCAGTTTGACCTCATGGAAGTTTAAGTCCGTCAAATAGATAATAAACCTAAAGGGCAAACAACGATTAGGGCGACACCTGCAGCCGCCGCAGCAGAGGGTCAAGGTCTTTGCTATGTAAAGAGTTCTCACAGATCAACAACACGCCAGCGCCCCAGCAGCAACACAGGCAGGCACAGCAGCCAGCAGGGTCCCAGCACGGACTCGTGTCTAACACACGCAGGACACCCTGTTCAAGTGAATGGATCATCAGAAAACCGCTTTCTGTGATCAGATGGGCAAAGATCCAAACCTCTGGCCAGGCCGGTGCCTTCCGGAACCCGTTGGGTGCTGTGCGTGGGGCCGGCAGATCCTCACTGTTGTTTGCTTTTTAGGAAAGGCACGGGAGGGAGTAGGAAACACACAGGTATTTCTGGATTGTGTGATTTCAGGGATGTGGGGTCGTTTTTATACTTCTGAGCACATGTCATAATTTTTTGAAAAATAGCTTTAAAAATTAGGTCAAGGAATCTCCCCTTCTGAAGAGACCTGGGGCTGGGAACCAGATTCAATTTAGTGGAACAGGCTCCCCAGCAAACAAGTGCATTTAAACCATAGATGAGGCCCGGCCGGTGTGGCTCAGTGGTTGAGCTTTGACCCAGGAACCAGGAGGTCACGGTTCCATTCCAGGTCAGAGCACATGCCTGGGTTTCAGGCTCCATCCCCAGTGTGGGACGTGCAGGAGGCAACTGATCCATGAGTCTCATCATTGATGTTTCTATCTCTCACTCCCTCTCCCTTCCTCTCTGAAATCAATAAGAACATGTTTAAAACACGCACACAAAAGAAATAAACAAATAGGTGAGAATTGTCCAAAGAGAGCGTATATCCGCGGCTGACTTCCTCAGACGAAGTCTTTCCAGGACCGCCCCCCCCACCCCCACCCCAGGGCTGGAGCCGGGCGGGCAGGGCTGTCCTGCTGCCCAGGTGGCGGGTGTGGGGCAGGGGCTGGAACTGGCTCTGGGAGGACAAAGGTCTCCTGCCCAGGCCCTCCCCTCACTCAGTGACTTGGCGGGGTGGCAGGTGGCAGTGTGGCGATCGCACTGTAAGGTACACAGATGCTGAGTCACCGGGTCACACACCCGGACCTCACAGGCCAGGGATG